AACGTCAGCCTTTCTGCTCCTATGATGCTGCTTGGCCTGCTGTGTTCATCCAGCTCTGCACCTTGTTGTCTCCGATTGTCCAGCATCTGCAGCTCCTACTATCCCTGTCAATATCATTTTGCATAATACCCATGCATTTATAAATCCTCCATCTGATTGTGAATGCAATGGGAAGATCAGTTTGCGTATTACACATAGGGAGTTCTCGTGGCACAGTGGTAACGTCCCTACCTCCGGGCCAGAATCTCCTGGTTCAAGTCCTATAACATGAAGATGCGTCCATGACTTGGCCAAACAGATTGATTGTCAGCCTGTAGATCTTTCCAATATGCCTGATGGCAGGTGATAAGCGCAGGAGTATTTCTTGGTCAGCCATCCTGCAACAGATAGTGGCAAACCAATGCAGTACAATGCCCATAATTGTGGGCCAAGCCAGTAGAAGCACATGGCCCAATCTTTGGTACCAAGTACTTGAGAAAAGACAGACAGATGATATATATAAAATAGACATGAAGCAAAATCTTTCTGGCATATTCAAGACACTTCACAGGAAAACTATATTTAGGCTGTTTCAAATAGAAACTGTTAACTGAAATAAATTAGTACAATACAACCTTGGTATAGCATCATACAAATAAACATTATGAGTAATCATGATTTGTGGGACCAAAGAAGGCAATTGTAGGGAAAGGCACGATTATCTAATAATGAGAAAAGCTTTGCACGTGCAAGAATTTACAATTGAGTAGACTATTTACTCTGATAAACCAAAAAATAGTTTACATAATTTGGTATGAAGAATATGTGGCACAAATTTGGAATTTACATGTGAGCATTAGACAACTGTGCAATATTGAGACAAAAAAAATCACACAGAGTCAGAGTTATAACGTACAATAAAAAAAATTATTTATTCTCTTAGCTTGTTTCTGTAATGTAGTTTTACCATTATTTACGGTAATATTAGCATTATCCTGCATGCAGTTCACTAATACACTACAAGTCAATAGGCTTAATAAAGGAATTTACATTTAACTTCTCTTTGTGTAAGAAAACACAAAATAACCTGGGAGTGGTTAAAGAAGGTCAACTTTGTCCTTGTGAAAAACAAAACTGTGGATTCATTTTCCACTTTGAACAGTTCTAGTGCAGCATGAATCATTTCACAAGACAAAAATGCCCATACAAATGGACAGAAAAGGATTGAGGAATTTGTAGCAATAAGGATTTCCTTGATACCCTCAATGCAGGCAGTGCTTGAGATTTTAATAATGTTTCATATTTTTCTAGATATCACTTTGCAGAAGGAAGTGAGTCATGGTCCCAAATTTTAACGAATTAAGTTTTGTTGTACCAAAAATGTGTGTATTTATTAAAAAGTAAACTAAAATTGGCTGTTCTCTTGTTTTTCTGTTTGGGAAGTTTATCGAAGAAAAAGTGCTATGGATCAACGTAAAAAAAAGTGACTGTAGTACTGACCTGAATTAATTCTCAGCTTTTTTATATGTACAAATGCTGAAAAGTAAAATAAAATGAATTTGTACAGTATTTATATTTTTCTTAGAAAATCCAACCACATATTTGAGCATTTCAAGCAATTTGCAAGATATCCTGTGAAGTCTGATCTTACAACATAACATTATCCATGTTAATCAGAAAATTCAAATGGAAAGAAAAGCTTCTTAGCTGCAAACTAGGAGGAGTGAGGTCATATTGAGCAATTTCTCAGTTTACCACTGGCTTATTACTTCCCATTTATCAAACACTTCTGGACAGTGGAAGGAACAGTGTACAGCAGCAAAGGCAATATAAACATGCACCAGTGACAGCATTGGAACTATGTATAATGATACAGAATACATCATATTACCTGGCATAACTTGCAAACTAGACTTAGTGTGGTGCATATTTGATGCAAAGATTGCCCAGTCTTCGTTGCATTTTGCTCAAATATGCACCACAGTGTGAAACAATTATTTACACAACAGAGGGATTTATTTGTCATGTTTAATATCAATCCTGCTGAGAGCTGAAGATGGCTAAACAATACTGCAGGATAAAGCACAGCAATTTTCAGTAAAGTTCAATTCTGGTCAATTCAGATTTGTTGGGCAGATCCCTCTGGATTTCTTTGATTATATTCACCCATGGCAGTATAAAAGGAACAAATAGTGATTGTGTCCAGAACTTGCACTAAAATTGCAGCTGAGAGTTGTCTGTAAATGTTCCACATAAAAATACCCATTAACTCTCAGTTTAGGGGTTATAATTAACTAACAGGCACATATTAGAACTGTTCAAATAGAGCACAACACATTTAGTAAAGCACCTTGACATCAGGGCCACCCTGAAACACTAGATAGAAAAAAATCTTGTTTATTTTATGAGTTAATGGATTCTCATGCACAATGAATGAGTGTGGCATGCTTCCATGCAAAACATTTTTGTACATGTTTAACACATTTTCCTAAAGTTGTGGGGTGAACCTCTTAACTTAGAAGTACTGCTTGAAACCCCTTCCCAAAAACATAAAGCCCCATTCCCATTTAGAAAAATAGTCACATATACTATACTTATGAATTATAAAATAATGTGAATTGTTATGGGCCTGGTATAAATTGTGGAACTGTGGCAACTGGAATGCAAAATACAGGGATAAAAGATACTATTGTTTGACATTTAACGGCACACATACATGTAAAATTTTCTGGTCCCTTTGTCTCGTCCCTACAGTCTTAGTAGCCATTTTGACTTTCCTCTTCAGCAGTGTCAATTGGTAGTGGAAACAGTAACCTCCTATCTAGGTTGCTGACTCCCCCTGCTGTACAGAGTCACAGTCTCCTGATGCAGATCACTGCCTTTTTAGGCACTGACCTTATATGTATTAATTGTCAGTTTGGCATAAATCTCCAAATGGAATCTTGTTCATACAGTTGGGTCACACTTAAAAGGCTGTAAACAATGTCATATAAGTATATTTTTTTTATTTGTTTGCATTTTACTTTTTATACTCCCTTACATCTTTGCCTCTATCTTCTTTTTCTTTCTCCTCTCTTGTTTTCTCTGGTTTTGTTACACTGTCATAGGATGGTGGAGATGTGGTAGAAGGAGTCATATCAGTTTTGTCTGTAGTGGAAATTTCATTAAACTTATCTATTACCATTTCTTCTTTGCCAGGTAGTAGCTCACTTGTTTTACCTTTTTCTTTGAACATGAAAGAGGCTTGTTTCAATGTTCGCCTAATCAGGTATCGTCTGAAAGCTCTCTGAATTATAGTTGCAGAAACATGTTCCTGTTTACGTCGCAAAGTGGTTGTAATTGGCTCATAGGATATCTTGGAAGGATTGGATGCCATAAAGCGTTCTTCCATCTGTTGTCGAAGAGCATCCATTTCTCCACCCTCACCAAGCACACGTTTTGTAAATGCAAACAAAATATCAAGACAGTGAATTCTATCTCCACTAACCATGGGCAAATCCATAGCTATAAGTTGTATTCTGTTGGGTTTTGCAACACGAAGAGGTGGTTCCAAGGCATCTGCAAAATCATGCAATCTACTATACTCCATAAATTGAGTTGCATCTGAATCAAATTTTTCCCATACTTCATAAAACATTTCAAAGTCATCCTCACTCAGTGGTTCAGCACTTTCCTCAGTAGCAACACTGAAATTCTCCAGGATAATAGCAATATACATATTTATGACAATCAAGAAAGATATTATGATGTAACTGACAAAGAATAAAATTGCTACTGATGGATTACCACAATCTCCCTTTATAGGGCTGCCTGGGTTATCTTTTGTTGGGTCACAGTCTGGTGGCCCACTATTTAAAATCGGAGCCAGTAACCCATCCCAGCCAGCAGATGTAGTGATCTGAAACAGGCAGATCATGCTGTTCCCAAAAGTTTCAAAGTTGAACATGTCATCAATGCCCGACTCCTTCTTCACATAAGCAAAATTAGACATCCCAAAAATGGCATAAATGAACATGACTAAGAACAATAACAGACCAATGTTGAACAAAGCAGGAAGGGACATCATCAATGCAAACAGTAGTGTACGGATTCCCTTAGCACCCTTGATTAAACGCAGGATGCGACCAATTCTGGCAAGTCGGATAACTCTAAATAACGTTGGTGACACAAAGTATTTTTCAATGATTTCAGCTAAGAACATGCCTAAAAAAAAAGAAAAAAAGTGTTAGCCACAGCTTTTCATATTTTAGTGTGATAATACATTTAGGATCATTTCTAATTCGAAGTATGTTTCAAAGTTGTGATTCAATGAAGGACTGTGAAAATGTCACAAATCTGAAGAGCAAGACATAGGCTGATTTGAATTATGTTAATATCAGGATATGTTACTGCATTAGGGAAGATTGCAATGCATGTTCTTATCTATAAAACATCTACACAACAACTTCATTTTGTCTTAATGTTTTTCACTAAACACTATTTTCAATTTATGATCTTAAGATCTTGAGTCAGAATTGTAATTTTTTTTCAAGCTGTGTAAGTATACCATAAGAATGGACAAATAGTGATACTGGTTATTTAATTAAATGAAATAGGTCAATATCAACATATTACTGACTGTATGCTATTCTAAATAATTCCTAACGATCTCCACTTTATATTTAAGCAAAATCTTTCTCGTAACATTTCCAAATGTTAGAATAATTGTTTAAAAGTACTGTAACATTTTAATTCTGGATTGAATTCAGTGATAATGCGTTTAGTTTTTGTTATATTTCTGCAAAATGTAATGCTTTATTTAACATTCATGAGGTTTTGTTAAAAAGCAATTATGTTACATAATCTTTCATATAACAACTTCAATTGGAGGCATTAATCAAATATGAAAACAATGGCTTAAGATTTTTCAAAGATGGAAGGGGTCTGTACCTTAGTCAAAATAGTGCTGGTAGCTCAAATCCAGAGATCCCAGTTCCATATCTGGCACCCATTTTTGCTAGGAATAGGAATGGGGCAGCGCACATGTTATTCATCCATGATTTGCAGGGGCAGGGGCAGATTTGGAAATGCAGCTGCCTCCAATCGGAAGCAAATTTTGTCATTCAGGTTTCTGAAACATGACTCATGGGCTTTACAAATTTGAATAAAGGATACAAATCTACCAGAGTTCTTTGGAGAGGTCAAGCGCCCTTTGGGATTGTTAACAGTAGATGTGAAAGTGTACAAAAGGAGTCTAAGATCTGTGGAACTGTCAAGTTGTCATCTAAAAGGCTAGCCCTTTAAATTAAAACAAAACCCATTGTGAATTTCAGTTCGAAAAAGAAGTTGCTTGCAATTTCAACAGATGTTTGTTGGCTTAAAATGGAGATAGGTTAGATTAGATTTAGATTTTATTGTCACGTGTACAGAAGTATAGGAATACAGTGAAAAGTTTACAATGTCACCGAAAACAGGGCCCTCTCTTAGATACAAAGGTATCTAGGTACAAAGGACTTAGGTACTAAGTAGTAAAAGAGAGAAACAAAGTGAAAAGGTTAAGCATTACTGACCATTATAGTACAAGTAGAAAAACAAAGAAATAAGGTAATAGTTAACATTAAAGTCCTTCTTAAAATAAACTAGAAAAATAAAGAAATAAGTTAAAAGTTCAACAGTCTTTCTTGAGCACTTAGTCAAATGGAGCCCCAAACTCCTCCACTTAGGTCACACTCTGGGACTACTTCCACAAGCAATCCATTCAATGGTGGGGGATTGGAGGGGTGGAGGTCTGTAGATTTAGATTTATTGACGGCTGCAAGTAGTTATAAAAGGATTAGCTGCCTTTGAAGTAGAGCTATGAATAACAAGCGTTGTTTTCATAGAAGAATAAGAATGTAAAGGGATTTAAATGTATTGAATGGATTTTTAATAGAGTTTTTTTAATATTGCGAATTCTGTAACATGTATTTAGAGCTTTATTCTGATTCACATCAGCAGGGCTACGGAAGCCCACTCATGAGCCTACACAATGAGTTGGCATGGTTGGTTAAGACAAATGGTGATTAATGGGGTGTCACGGGTTGTCTTGAATTGGTTTTAAGTTGTGATAGGTGCTATAAAGGGCCATGGTGATAGTAGCATATCATTGGCATACATCAACACTGAGTTGGCATAGGGAGTTATAAAGGCCCATGGAGATGAATAGCAGATCATGGATTGGCATGAATTGGAACTAAGTTGGTATAGGAGGTATGAAGGTCATGGGTGTATGGAGGGGCATGGGCTAGTAAGAAGGATATGAGGCACCATGAGGATTAGTAGAGAATAGCAGGTGACTGAGAATGTTTTGTGGAGCCGCAGACATTTGGTAGAGGCATGAACTGGCATGGATTGTTATGGTGGGACATACAGAGTGTGTGGGGGATAAAGGAGTGTCAGGGCTCCACTGTTTTTTATTGTAAATAGGATGATTTTTTTCACATGGTGAAAATCTGCCATTTGGTAAAAGTTTCCCAAGTCAGGTTCATGAAGTTGGGAAATTTCCTGACTCTGCACTTAACATGACTTTGGGGATAAAATTCTAGCCAATACATTCAATTGCAATGACAGGAAAACTTGAAGAAAAAATCAATTTGAATATATTATTAAATCCAATAACAACCTTACCTACAATAGAAAGAATGACCACCACAAAGTCAAAAGTATTCCAGCCTATTGTAAAGTAATAATAGCGGAGTGCAATAAGTTTGAGCACACACTCGCTTGTGAAAAGGACAATGAAAACCACGTTGATCCAATGTAAGACATCATCCATCTTTTTACTTTGATTATCTGTCTCCACCATCATGGTGACCATGTTAAGGCAGATGAGAATCATGATGGTGATATCAAAGGCTTGCTGAGTTACAAAATCAAACACCATTCCTTGAATCTTGTTCTATAAAATAAAAAAGGAACAAATAAATTAGTTATTCCTAACAGCACATGAAAGGACACAATAACATCACATCTTTCAAGATATAAAGTCAGAAATTTTGTACTATACTGTACAAACATAAATACTGAGATTTACCAATAAACTGTGGCACCATATTGTATGGAGGAATTACTGCCCAAGTATATTTATTTGCGAATACAGTTATAAAAATCTTAAGACTGAAAATGTTACTGAATTTTTTTGGGCACAAATTATGCTTAACAGAAAATGTCTTTGCAAAGTTAGAAATGAAAGCCTAGGAGAACTGAGTCAATACCTTAGATAACAAGGTGTAGAGCTGGATGAACACAGCAGGCCAGGCAGCATCAGAGGAGCAGGAAAGCTGACGTTTCGGATCTGGAACCTTCTAGAAGGGTCCAGACCCAAACAAGCAGCTTTCCTGCTCCTCTG